CACAGCTAAGCAAAAACTCTCCTCTGCACTCCACATTGTGCGTACGTGATGAGGTATTGTGTGTTAAAGTGCTTTTGTGAGCCATAAATATACGCAAGAGGGAGTTTCAAAGTCACACAGCAGTCCTTCCTTGCAGATATAAAGCAGAAAGATGATCAATATCAGCGTGCTTCATTTCTCAAGGACGTGTCGTGTGGATCACGCTCTTGACAGATGCATTGATTTCTGCCTTTTTTGCATAGAGGAATGTCCAGATCAGTGTTTGGGCTGTAATTCGGTGGGAATCTGCTCTGTAATTAAGTTTTGAATGAAGAATGCTGTACTTTTGACCTCAACTCTGATGTTCTTTGTATTATTTAAAGCAGTGGTTCTCAAACGGTTTTCACCAAGTACCACCTCAGAAATAAATGTCTCTCCTATTACCACCATAATGAGTGCCATTGAAATACATATAGGCCCTATTAAGCGGCTACAGTTTATTACAAAACTTCAGATTAATTCTTGTTTAATTAATTCTTATAATTATTATGCCACTTTAAACATAATAAATAGCTTGAACAATAGCACACTTACAGGTAAAAAAAAAGGGTAAATAAAATGACAATGTTCAAATTAAAATGTGTTTTTAAATGTTAATTAAAACTGGCACTGTTTTAAAAAAAAGTTAAAAGAAAACCGCTGTACATAAATGTAAAGTATTTTAATAAAATAGCCTATTCATCAAAACCTGCAAACGTTTCTTGGACCTCATAAATATACTGTAGGTTATACTGTATGTCATAATATTCATTTATAACTCTGTTTGAAAAAATTTGAAATATACGTTGCTTGTATATATGTCTTATTTGTATATCTTTGAAATCTAAACGTTAACTTGTATTTTAAATATATGAATTGGATTTACATATTTAAATTAGAAATAAAATCTGCTTACTGCTCGTTAGAGTAGGCTATGTGTGTCAAAGAAGCAAGTGATTAAACTATACCTGTCAACATTGGGATATACAAATACGACATACGCCCCAACAACCGTTTCAAGTATAGGGAGGAAAATAACCTCAAATGATAGAATACATAACAAAAATTAGAACAATGAAGACAAAATAGAAGGTTTAGCCTATTAAAATCAATTTCCTGAACACGTTGTTGTTATCGTAAGCGTCAAAGGGTTAAAAGTGTGTTCATTTTATTTTTACTTGAGTTATTCTGCGATTCCTCCGCGTGCTACTAGAAGGGAGCCTGAGTACCACTCGTGGTACAAGTACCACAGTTTGAGAACCACTGATTGACAGGGATAGTTCACCCTTAAATGAACATTTAGGCAGTGTAATCCCCCTTAAGTGGTTACAAGTGTTTATGGGTTTCTTTTTTCCTTTGAACACAAAAGAAGATATTTTGAAGAATGCTGAAAACCTGTAACCATTGAGTTCCATTATTTGTTTTTCCTACTACAGAGTTTTCTTCCAAATATCTTCAACTCAATAGTTACTTGTTTTAAAGCTTTATGATTTTGTTTCTTCTGTTGAACACAAAAGAAGATATTTTAAAGAATGCTTAAAACCTGTAACCACTGACAGGTGTGGACTTAGTGATTTGGGGGCCCTAAGCAATTCCAATATGGGGCCCTAGCATTTTTGGAGAAAAAAACAACTGCATGTTAAACAGTATGCATATATATATATATATATATATATATATATATATATATATATATATATATATATATATATATATATATATATATATATATATATATATATATATATATGGTCACACTTTACAATAAGGTTCATTAGTTAATGTTAATTAATGCATTTACTAACATGAGCAAATAATGAACAATACATTTACTACTGTATTTGCTTATGTTAGTTAACGTTAGTTAATGAAAATACAGTAGTTCATTGTTAGTTCATGTTAACTCATGGTGCATTAACTAACAAGCATGGACTTGGATGTTAATAATGCATTAGTAAATGTTCAATTATGATTAATAAATGCTGTACATGGGTTGTTCATGATTAGTTCATGTTAGTAAATGCATTAACTAATGAAACCTTATTGTAAAGTGTTATAAAAATTTTAAATAAGTAAAAGCAAACACTTTAAAGTGTACACTGCAAAAATGCTGGGTTCCACACACTTGATAAGGAGAACATAGCTTTTACAAATTTAAGTGGATTGAACATGAAACAACTAAGTTGTCCCACAAACATAAAACAAACAAATAAGCAGTCAGAACAAACAGCAAACATTATTTTTTGAGTGTACACTTTAAATAATGCTGGGTTTACACAATTGATTGTTATTGGAACAACATGAAGGAATTAAATTAACGTATTAGCTTTTACAAATTTAAGTGGATTAAACATGAAACAACTAAGTTGTCCCCCCAAAAAAACTTCAAGAATTGTGTTGTTTCAGCTCATTTAAAATAAGCAGTCAGAACAAACAGCAAACCTCATTTTTAGAGTGTACACTTTAAAAAATGCTGTTTTAACACAATTGGTTTACATTGGAACAACATGAAGAAATTAAATTAACGTATTAGCTTTGACAAATTTAAGTGGGTTGAACATGAAACAATTAAGTTGTGGCAACAAAAACAGTAAGAAATGTGTTGTTTCAGCTCATTTAAAATAAGTAATTTAAACAAACAGCAAACATCATGTTTTGAGTGTACACTTTAAATAAATACAGTATGCTGGGTTTCATACACTTGATTTTTGTCGGGAAAACATGAGGAACCTAAATTAACGTATAAGCTTTTACAAATTTAAGTGGATTGAACATGAAACAACTAAGTTGTCCCCCCAAAAATTAATCATCTCATTTCAAATAAGCAGTCAGAACAAACAGCAAACGTCATTTTTAGAGTGAACACTTAAAAAAATGCTGGATTTACACAATTAATTTACATTGGAACAACATGAAGAAATTAAATCAACGTATTAGTTTTTTACAAATTTAAGTGGGTTGAACATGAAACAATTAAGTTGTCCCCAAAAAACTCAAGAATTATGTTGTTTCATCTCATTTTAAATGTGTAATTTGAACTAACAAGAAACATTTTATGAGTGCACTGTAAGAAGTGCTGGGTTTACACAATTGATTCTTATTGGAGCAGCATGAAAAAAAAATATTAACAATTTCGTTTTTACAAATTTAAGTGGATTGAACATGAAACAACTAAGTTTTGGCAACAAAAACAGTAAGAAATTTGTTGTTTCAGCTAATTTAAAATAAGTAATTTGAACAAACAGCAAACATCATTTTTTTGAGTGAAATGCTGGGTTTACACAATTGATTTACATTGGAACAACATGAAGGAATTAACATAATGTATTAGCTTTTACAAATTTAAGTGGGTTGAACATGAAACAATTAAGTTGTCCCCAAAAAAAAAAACATCAAGATTTGTGTTGTTTTAACTTATTTTAAATGTGTAATATGAACTAACCGCAAACATCCTTTAATGAGTGCACTGTAAAAAGTGCTGGGTGTACACAATTGATTGTTATTGGAACAACATGGAAAAAATTCAATTACCATATTCGTTTTTACAAATTTAAGTTGGTTGAACACAGAACAACTAAGTTGTTGCAACAAAACAGTAAGAAATGTGTTGTTCCAGCTTATTTAAAATAAGTAATTTGAACAAACAGCAAACATCATTTTTTAGAGTGTACACTATAAAAAATGCTGGGTTTACACAATTGATTGTTATTGGAACAACATGAAGGAATTAAATTAACGTATAAGCTTTTACAAATTTAAGTGGATTGAACATGAAACAACTAAGTTGTCCCCCCCCCCCCCCAAAAAAAAAAAAACTTTAAGAATTGTGTTGTTTCAACTCATTTCAAATAAGCAGTCAGAACAAACAGCAAACCTCATTTTTAGAGTGTACACTTTAAAAAATGCTGGGTTTACACAATTGATTTACATTGGAACAAAATGAAGGAATTAAATTAACGTATTTGTTTTATTACAAATGTAAGTGGGTTGAACATGAAACAACTAAGTTGTCCCACAAAACCCCTCAAGAATTGTGCTGTTTTAGCTCGTTTTAAATAAGTAATTTACAGCAAACGTCATATTTTGAGTGTACACTATAAATAAATGTGCTGGGTTAAACACACTTGAGTTTTCTTGGAACAACATGAAGAAATTAAAATAACATTATTCAAAAAAAAAAAAAAAACTCAACTGTTGTTTGCGCTCATTTTATAATAGGTAGATTAAACAAACAGCAAATGTAGTTTTCTAAAAGTGTTCACTACAAAAATGCTGGGTTTACACAATTTTTGTAATTAAATTAATGTATTAGTGTTTACAAATTTAAGTGGATTGAACGTAAAAACAAATAAGTTTGCAAACAAAACAATAAGAATTCAGCTTATTTTAAATAAGTAATTTGAACAGCACACGCTCTCGAGTGTACACTGTTAGAAATGCTGCGGGTTCCACACATTTTATTAGGTTAATGCACAGTTTTTTACAAATTTAAGTAGATTTAGCATAAAATAATTAAGTTGACTCAGGAATTGTGTTGTTTCATCTCATTTTAAATATGTAGTTCGAGCAAACAACAAATGTCGTTTTTAAGTGTACACTGTATAAAAATGCTGGGTTTACACTTGACTTAAATTAAATTAATGTATTAGTTTATACAAATTTAAGGGGATTGAACATGAAACAACGAAGTTGTCACAACAAAAACAATAATAATTGTGCTGAGTCTATTTTAACTAAGTAATTTTGAACTAAGCAAACATTTCACTGTAAAAAAAAAATGCTGGGTTCCACACACTTGATTAAATTGACATATATGTTTTACCAATTTAAGTGGATTTAAAATTAAACAAGTAAGTTGTCCCTTCAAAAACAACTTATGAATTGTGTTGTTTCATCTTATTTTAAACATGTAGATCGAGCAAACAACAAATGTCATTTGTTTTGTGTGTGTGCATATATTTCTGAAAGTTTGCAGATCTCACCTGTCAATGCAGAGCACAGTCACGATGCCCACTGTGGTAAACTGGTTACTGACGTCCACCACCACCACAGCTTTACACATGAAGTGCCCAAACACCCACTGCCTGTCTCGGACCAGCTGATGGATGTTGAAGGGCATCACCAGCAAGAACAACAGGTCTGCGATGGCCAAGTTTAACACGTAAATATCAGACACCATCTTCTTCTTGCAGGACGCCACGGCGTAAATCACCAGGCTGTTAGCCAGAACCCCGACCGAGCACAGGACGCCGTAGATTGTGGGGAAAATGTGCATGAAAGACGCGATGTCTATGATGCTGTAGGACGGGACGGTCCGGTTCACGCACGAAATGTTGGTGGAGTTTGCAAAATCAGAATCGCAAAATATATCCGAAGCGTTCATGTTTAATTATAAATAAGAGTTCGCTTAAAAAAAGAATAAATAACTATTTAAAAAGTTGTCGCGCGCGCAATTACGCAAGCTTTTACGCGGCGCTCTATTTCATATTCACAGCGTTCAAAGTTGAAGTTAAAGTTTCCCTCTGGTGTCGGTGGTCGACCAGTTAATGTTCGTCGTGCTTTTCATTAAGTTTGCCGAACACTCGGTCTCTTGAGATGTTGTTTAGTGCATGTAGCGCGCGTCTGTCTCCACCAGTTCTGCTGTTTGAAGAGACGAGCGTGTCTCCACCCTTTCAGAGCTCCTCTCTGCTCTCCATCACGCTCATATCCGAGAGGAAAAGTGCTTTAAAATTTAGTTATGCACTGCACTACGATCCGAAGATGAATGTATAGGCTGCTATGGTGTTTTTTAATCATTTCATTTATTGTACATAGTACAGGGCGTCACGGTGGCGCAGTGAGCACGATCGCCTCAAACCAAGAAGGTCGCTGGTTCAAGCCCCGGCTAGGTCAGTTGGCATTTCTATGTGGAGTTTGCATGCTGCACGAGTTTCCCCGTGTTTGCGTGGGTTTCCTCCGGGTGTTCCGGTTTCATCCACAGTCCAAACACATGCGGGGAATTGAACAAGCTAAATTGGCCAGTGTATGTGTGTTGTTTCCCAGTGATTGTTTTTGTAAAACATATGCCGAATAAGTTGGCAGTTCATTCCCCTGTGGCGACCCCTGATTATTAAAGGGAAAAATAAATACTATATTATTATACTATTTAATGAATGCCACAGCATACTGTAGTTTAACTGTAGTGAACTGATAGATTGTAGTGTACATTAGTTTTTATTATTGTAAACTGTGATATTACAGTGTTTTTAACCATGCTATAGTAAAGTATTTGAAGTTTTGGTAATTCTATAGTCTCTAGGCTTATAACACAACAACTAGGGTGAATTTGGGTAATCTGGCACATTGGGTAATCTGGGACACCTAAGCGTCAGTGTGTTTATTTCTGTTCTAACAAAATTCAGTCAACAGGACTTTTAATTTAAATTTAGAAATATAAGTCACAGAGATCTCTCTCTCTCTCTCTCTCTCTCTCTCTCCATCTGTCCCTCTGGATGGAATTACTGATGCAGAGGAGAGGAAAAACACCTGTTCTACAGTGAAAAAAATTATTCAAAGATGATTCCTTGGCTTTACTAAATTTTTTTTTTTTTACGTTAAGTGGTTGTAAACAATTTATTTTGGCTGAATTTAAACAAACAAATTAATTTTACAGTGTTTTCAATCATGGATTAGTAAAGTAATTGAAGTTTTGGTAATTCGGTAACACTTTACAATAAGGTTCATTAGTCAATGCATTTACCAACATGAACTAATCATGAACAACACATGTACAGCATTTATTAATCATAATTGAACATTTACTAATGCATTATTAACATCCAAGTCCATGCTTGTTAACATTAGTTAATGCACCATGAGTTAACATGAACTAACAATGAACTACTGTATTTTCATTAACTAACGTTAACTAACATGAACAAATACAGTAGTAAATGTATTGTTCATTGTTTGTTCATGTTAGTAAATGCATTAATTAATATTAACTAATGAACCTTATTGTAAAGTGTGACCGATAATTCTATAGTTACTATAGGCTAGTTACACAACTACTATAAACAAATGACCCAATACATTGTAGTTTCATTTCAGTCCATTTCAGGGCTTTTCTCTGCTCTCCATCAAACTTATATCTGAGAGGAAAAGGGCTTGATGATTTAGTTATGCACTGCAGGATGATCTGAAGATGAAAATGTAAGCTACTGTGGTGTTGTTGAGCCATATCATTTATTTTGTACATATTGTAGTTCTTACAACTCTTTGTTGGTGAATGCTACAGCATATACTATTATTTTAACTATAGTGAACTGATATATTGTAGCATACACTAGTTTTTATTACAGTAAACTGTGGTATTACAGTGTTTTTAACCATGTTATTGTAAAGTATTTGAAATATTTGGTGATTCTATAGTTGCTATAGATTAACACAACTACTATAAACAAATGACCGAAATATTCTAGAACTAGCCTATATTATACTACAGTACATGGTAGTTTTATTTGTTTCCATTATAGAGTTCCTCTCAGCTCTCCATCACACTCATATCTAAAGGAAAAGGGCTTGATGATTTAGTTATGCACTGCAGGACAATCTGAAGATACAAATACAGGCTACTATGGTGTTTTTGAGCCATACAATTTATTTTGTACATATTTTAGTACTTACAACACTTTGTTAGTGAAGGCTACAGCATATACTCTAGCTTTAGCTATAGTGAACTGATAGATTGTAGCATACGTTATTTTTTATTACAGTAAACTGTAATATTACAGTGTTTTTAATCATGCTTTATAAAATATTTGAAGTTTTGGTAATTATATAGTTGCTATAGTAACACAACTACTATAACCAAATGGCCCAATATTCTAGAACTAGCCTATATTATACTACAATACATTGTAGTTTCATTTGTTTCCATTATAGAGTTCCTCTCTGCTCTCCATCACACTTATATCTAAAAGGAAAAGGGCTTGGTGATTTAGTTATGCACTGCAGGAGGATTCGAAGATAAAAATATATGGTGATTTTAAAGCATATCATTTATTTTGCACATATTATAGCAATTACAACTCTTTTACTGAATGCGACAGCATATACTCTAGCTTTAACTATAGTGAACTGACAGATTTTAGCATATGTAAGTTTTTATTACAGTAAACTGTGATATTACAGTGTTTTTAATCATGCTTTAGTAAAGTAATTGAAGTTTTGGTAATTCTATAGTTACTATAGGCTAGTAACACAACTACTATAAACAAATGACCCAATATTATATTTCAATACATTGTAGTTTCATTTCAATCCATTTCAGGGCTTCTCTCTGCTCTCCATCAAACTCATATCTGAGAGGAAAATGGCTTGATGATTTAGTTATGCACTGCAGTATGATCTGATGATACAAATATAGGCTACTATGGTGTTTTTGAGCCATACCATTTATTTTGTACATATTATAGCACTTACAACACTTTGTTAGTGAATGCTACAGCATATACTCTAGCTTTAGCTATAGTGAACTGATAGATTGTAGCATATGTTAGTTTTTATTACAGTAAACTGTAATATTACAGTGTTTTTAATCATGCTTTAGTAAAATATTTGAAGTTTTGGTAATTCTATAGTTGCTACTAGTAACACAACTACTATAACCAAATGGCCCAATATTCTAGAACTAGCCTATATTATACTACAATACATTGTAGTTTCATTTGTTTCCATTTCAGAGCTCCTCTCTGCTCTCCATCACACTTATATTTAAGAAAAAAAAAAGCTTGATGATGTAGTTATGCACTGGAGGACAATCTGAAGATAAAAATATAGGCTACTAGGGATGTAACGGTATCAGAATTTCACGGTACGGTAATACCTCGGTATTCGGTAATACCTCGGTATGAATGACATACAAATTAGTCATCTATCTGTAAGCTTTGAAACAGGAACTTCAATTTTAATAACAAAAAATTATTAAACCATGTAAAAAAATAAAGTTTCAATTTAGTAGTGTTGAAAACTCATCTCATTCAACATTTAATCACTCACTCACTTAGATAGAGATGGGTTTAAAGGAAAATTATCATATAAATATAATCTGGTAAAAGCTGGTATCTCTGGGCATTTACAATGTCCCCTGCAACAGAAAAAAACCCTCTCATTTGGGACTGAGGTTTCTGGGACAAGAGAGATATGACTTGGCCCAGGTTGACAGCAGTGGGTAACGTTGTGCATTGTCTTTCCCCCACTTGAGAGGAAAAACCATGAGTGAGATAGAGGTCTCATGTCTGCATCAATCTGAACAGTGTGCTGTGTTTCTGCAGTCCCCATGACTGATTAGTCGTATTCCCCAACTTGCAGGCACGTGCACACACAGTGCTCAACCTGTGCAGTGCACATGCCCTTTTTAGTCTTGGATAGAAAGTTCCCTTCCAAAATGATCAAAAGTGCCCCCGCGACGCGACATACCCTCCGTCCCCGCTTTACAGTACGCGCGCGACAACACAGCTGATCAGAACTCGCGCGACAACACCGCTATTCAGTACGCGCGCGACAACACAGCTGATAAGAACTCGCGCGACAACACCGCTATTCAGTACGCGCGCGACAACACAGCTGATAAGAACTCGCGCGACAACACCGCTATTCAGTACGCGCGCGACAACACAGCTGATAAGAACTCCCGCGACAACACAGCTGATAAGAACTCGCGCGACAACACCACTATTCAGTACGCGCGCGGTGACAACACCCGCTTTAGGGTTTTCCAGCTCTTTTCATCTCCGCTTCTAGCAGCACACTCCATTTCCGCATTACTGGATCTGTAGCGACAACAGATCGCAAGGGATTATGGCCAAGCCTGGGCTGATGGGAATTGTAGTTTCCGGTACCTTCCATTCGCTTCTTTCGCCTGAGCAAATTTTCTCAGAAGACCTATAGTTTTACCGAGTCATGCGACTACGGTAATATTGAAAAAAAATAATATTGCGGTATGACGGTATTTACAATACCGTTACATCCCTATAGGCTACCATAGTGTTTTTGAGCCATACCATTTATTTTGTACATATTTTAGATCTTACAACTCTTTGTTGGTGAATGCTACAGCATATACTGTAATTTTAACTATAGTGAACTGATAGATTGTAGTATATATTAGTTTTTATTACAGTAAACTGTTTTACTACGGTGCTTTAACCACGCTGTAGTAAAGTATTTGAAGTTTTGGTGATTCTATTGTTGCTATAGGCTAGTAACACAACTACTATAAACAAATGACCCAATATTCTAGATACAGGGTATATTATACTACAATACATTGTAGTTTAATTTCAAGGCTCCTCTCTGTTCTCCATCACACTCATATACGAGAGGAAAAGGGCTTGATGATTTAGTTATGCACTGCAGGACGATCTACGAATACAGGCTACTATGATGTTTTTGAGCCTACCATTTACTTTGTTCATATTATAGCACTTACAACTCTTTGTTAGTGAAAGCTACAGCATAAACTGTATTTTTTAACTATAGTGAACTCATAGATTGTAGTATATGTTTAGTATAGTAACACAACTACTATAAACAAATGACCCAGTATTCTAGATACAGGGTATACTATACTAAAACACATTGTAGTTTCATTTCAATCAATTTCAGGGATTTTCTCTGCTCTGCATCGCACTCGTATGTGAGAGGAAAAAGGCTTGATGATTTAATTATGCACTGCAGGATGATCTAAAGATAAAAAATATAGGCTACTG